AGACCCTAGCCCCACCCCAGAAGCAGTGAGCCACCCAGACAACTAAGCAGCCACAAGCCCATCGTGACCTCCCAGACCAGGGGAGGCAAGAAATCACCAGGGGTTGAGACGTGGCAAGCCCAAAGGGACTACAGACTAGCAGTCTACCTTCTAGCACATTCCTGGATAATCAGACTAGATGAAAGCCATGTGAAAATCCACTCTCCTTTTCTCTGAGGACGCTCATCTTCTTCCACTTGGACCCCTCCTGACTCAAAGATCTTTTCATTTTAACCAGAAACTTGAATTTCGTCCATGACCTGTCCCTTTCACCCTCACATCCAGAAAAGTGCTGGGTCATGCCAGTTCCACTTCTCTCAAAGTCATGCACCTTCCTCTTAGGCTTCCACTGCTACTCATCCCTCCTGGACTGGGGAGCCTTTCTCATCTCTCCCAATCACTTCTCCCCTTAGCTCCAAATCCTCACTCTCTTACCTAAAACCTCCAATGAATCTCCATGTCCTCTGAGTTAAAAAAAGTCCAAATTCTCAAAGGTCCTGCATGATCTAGCCCCTGGTACCCTCTCCAATCTCATGTCTCCCTCCTCCTCTCACACCTTTGGTCCAGCCATACCAAATGGCTCACTAGCTCCTTTTGTGCCTCAGTGACTAGAATGCCACCTTTCCACGCCCCCTCTGAGCAAACTCCTACCTGTTCTAACATGAATGTTTCCTCCTCCAAGAAGTCTTCCCTTCTTTTCTCCCTGATGGCAAGACCAGAGAGACCCTCTGTAGAGTCTCGGCACCATATACCTTCATCTATCACCCTTCTTATACCCCTGGTTAAGGGTTTTCATGTGTCTATCTCTCTTTGAAGAACAAGCATCAAGGCTGACTTATCCTGGCATCTACGGCATCAGCCATAAACACCCCATATGCCCCCACAGCACACACACAGCATACACATATCCTTTTGCACACAGGCCCACATAAATGCCCATGTACACAGAGGGCTGTCCATACTTCTGTGTTGCTACATGTGCCTCTCCAGGACAGACTGTGTGTGAGGCACGGTGTGAACGGAGCCCATAAGAGGGAAGAGAGATGAGACAGGGCCCTGCCATACAAACCCACCTCTCGCAGTTCCTCCAGCCCATACTCCACAGCCGCTGTCAGCACCTCCAGCACCTGCAGAGTGGGTGGTCGGGGGAGTGGAAGAGAGTTTCTCCTGCCCCTCCCCGCCAGCCCCCCCGCCACCGCCACCCAGACCTCTGCCCAGAGGGCTCACAGAGCAGCGGTGCAGCCTGACACTGTTGGTGTACAGAAACTCCAGCACTGCCAGGAAGGCCTCCACTGGCACTGTGCTTAGCACCACGGGGCTAGGCATCCCAGGGCCCAGCTTTGGGCCCAGAAGTCGTTGGAAGAAGTTGCATCTACAGGCCAACAAGCACCGGTGGGCAAACACCTCCTGCCGTTCTTGACCGACCACAAAGCAAACATCACTGTGGGAAAGGGGAGGAGAGAACCAGGGAAGAAGAGGCTGGAGTCTTGGGTACAACCCTTAGGCTTTGCCTTTGTCCACTCTGAGCCTTCATTTCCTAATCTGTCATAAAAGGGACAGGTCTTAGTCCTTCCAGCGGAAGGTCTGGGATACACTTTCCTGGATTCTAGTCCCAGCCCCACCCTACGGTGCCTCAGGCAAGTGACTTTATACCTTTGAATCTCAGGTTTCTCATCCATGAAATGGGATAGTAATCCCAAACCCTCAGGTCTTAGAGGAGGTGGCAATGCCTGATCGCTGAGGGGGCACCAAGGCTGATGCAAAATTGATCCTACCTACCCCTCTCCTCCCCAGCCTGAGTTGAGGTAAGGGAAGCTCTTCTTGGCTCCTCCTCCATAGACTGCAAACTCAGCCTTTTTCAGGCTCCTCTAGGCGGGAGGGTGTGGGGGAGCGGGGGTGCAGAGCGCATTGGCTGCAGACAGATGTGGCAGCGATACATCATCATGAGACCAGACCACATTTTCCATCTTCACAATCACTTCCGGCCCCAGCCTCTGGGCCTCCCAACAGCATAGATAGTAGGAGGCAGGAAATGAAGCTTGAGCTTCTGGAGCCTTCTAGTCCCAGGTCCAAGGCCAGGGGTTCCCCCTACTCACCCCAGACTGCTAATCCCCAAAGCAGTAGGGTTATGGGAGTCACCAACCCTTGAGGAGGAGTCCAGCTTTCAGGCAGTGGGGACTGAAAGCTACATTCTAGTTCTGACCAGCCCTGCCCCCATATTCTATCCCTGCTTTCAGACACCACAAGCATCCTGGGCAGTGAGCCCTAGGCAGCACCCTTGAACTACTTCCTGTCTGAGACTCTGGCTCACTCAATCCCTTGAGCTTTGTTCCTCTTGTGACTCCCCAGTTCCCAGAACAGGGTCATCTGCTCCTCTGCCTCCCAGGGAGGGACTCGAGTTATATCCCATCCCTCAGGATCCAGGGGGACAGAGAGCTCTTCTCTGCCAGGAGCTCAAGAGCCAAAAAAGGAAGGCCTTTGCCTGAAGTCACACAGCTGCTCTGGGCTCCAGCTCCCACTGCCACCACCCCTCCCACCTCTGGCTCTCAGGACATCATGGGCGATGAGTGACCTGTAGTCATTCTCCACACTTGACTTCCCCAGACTGAGTTCACCAGGGAGGAGGGTGGTCTTCCCCACCTCTTGTGTACCCAAGGCTTCCTCAGGGTCGTGGGGCCCAGCAAAGCCAGTTAGGGAAAACCCACAGACAGGGCCCGCCCCCTCACCTGTATTGGGGATTGTTGAGAAGGCTTCGGAGTGCCGTGGAAAAGGGTGCAGCCTCCCCATGCACAACCAGTCCCGGGGGCTCCATGGGGGCGGGGCGGGGGAAGAAGCAGGTAGAATAGGAGGCCTGGTGTCTCTTGGTCTGTGGGAGGCGGTAGGTGGGAAGGAGCAGGAGGCCTGGCCAGGCTTAGCAGCTGGTGTGGAGACTACAAAGGCCTGAGAGGGAGGGGCAGGAGCTTGGGAAGACTGTTTGCTGGGAAGCTAAAGTTTAGGGATGGGGCAGGAGAGGCCCAGGTTCCTTAAGAAGGCATCAGAGGCCAGAGGCTGGGCTAGGGGTTGGGACTCAGGGAGGGGACCGAGAGAGGCTGAGGGTGGAGCCGACTGAACTGGGGAGGAGAGGCTGACGGGGCGGATGAGGCCCCAGCTGGGAGCCTGCCCAGGCGGCAGTGGGTGGGAAGCCTGTGGGTTTCCACGGAAACCGGAGCCCGGCTGGAGAGGCCCCGCCCATCTCCCACAGGCCCAGGGAAAACTTTAGCCCTCAGGGGGGCCGGAAGCTGAGTGGAGGGTCTTAGCCCCCAGGCCCCTGCCTGTCTTGGGTTCAGAGTTCAAACTCCCTGCCTCTCCTACCCCGGCCCCCACATGCACATCAGGTTGCCAGGTCTGGGGAACCCCCCTCAACAGGGAAATTCCTCACCCCCATGGAGTTTTCAGGGCCCAGACTGGCTTGTCTGAGAGGGGGCAGTCCTGTCCCTTCCAGAGGGAGGTCAGGTGAGGTGGTGTCAGCTCTGACAGAGGCGTCATGGCCTCTGGCATCCCTAAAATGCAACCCCGGTTAGGGGGGTGGCACTCTCGGCACTCAAGAGGTGTGTCCAGCTAGGGAGAAGCCCCAGGGCACTTGGGGCAGCAGGGGTCAGGAGGCTGGGCTCTGGTTCACTGCCAAGTCCAGTCACCACTGTTGCACCACTGTTGCGTCAGGTCGGCTCCCACCAGCGGGGAGGATGGCCTTCCCTCCCCCTGCACACAGCCCCAAGCTGAGGAAGTCATCCAAGCCCCACCCCAGCTCTGCACAGGGAGCGGAAATACTTGTCCTTGTTGAGGCTGATGGGGAGACGACAGAGCCATGACATCCTCCTTCCTGTGGGCCCAGATCCTGATCCCTCAGCAGCCACCCCTGCAGGCTCAAGGTCTCCCCACATCCCAGGGTTCTGCAACTTACTCACAACTGAAGAGCCAGCCTTCACAAGGGGAGAAATGGACAGCAGCTCAAGAGCCCCGGGAGCCCCTCTCCACATCTGCCCCCTCCGTAGTCCTTGCGGTGGTAGTATGCCCTGGGTTCTAGACCCTTGTTATTCCCTTTTCCCTGATGACTCAGGTACCCCACACTCAACACCTACTCACAGTAACACTTCCAGGTTAAGCCAGAGCCAGGACTGGAAGGAGGGAACCAAACAGGAGTGCCTGCCCAGTAACCCAGGGCAACTCCACAACACAGGGGGCCATTACCTTCCTGCCTGCCAGTCAGGCCAGCTGGGAGGACAAGGCTGTGGAGCTAGGAGAGAGTTGGGAAGCCAAAAGCTGCAGGTGACTCAGGTGCCTGTGGGAGTTTCGGAAGAGGGCATTCATCCCAGAGCTGATTCTGCAGGTAGGGTCAGAGGCCAAATGCAGAGGGCAGAAGGAACTTCCCGAGTCACCTGCCTCCAGCCTCAGCCAGTGGTAGGGGCGATCTTTGTGTCAGCCACCCTAGAAGCAGATAGGGGTGGAAGACGGCTGGATTCAGTACCCACAGGGCTAAAAGGATCTGTGGGGTTGAAGGAGTTGGGTCTGTCTCCTTCTGGTTAGGGGTTTGAGGCACCACAGTCTAGGCTGAGGCAAACCAAGGGCAGACTTATCTCCCCCTTCTGCTGGCAAAGTCTGGGGGAAGGGAGAATAGGAGGTGTACTTAGAGCTCACTTAGCTAACCTCCATGGTGCCCACGGGAACGTGAAGCTCAAGGGAGCAGGGGCCAACCCAAGATGATAGTCTGAGCAGCACTGCTTATGTCCTTAACAGCCCTTAACCCTCGAAGCATCTAGGAATCCTCGCAGCCCCGGACTATTTGACTCACCTGTCCCCAGAACAGAGGTAAGAAGGGGTTAGGGGATAAAAACCCTTATCACTGAGTGAAAGACTGGATGGGGTACAAAGATGGCCAGTTTAGGCCATCCTGTCCAAGTGTGGGTCTCCCAGCTGGCAGGTCCATGGCTGGCAGGTCTGTGCCCCCCGGACGCCAGGAGGAGGACACTACCAAAGACCCCGGGCTCAAACGATCGCCGGTGAGGCCTCCAGGCCACCTGCCCAGTATTGATGAGGCCCGACTAGCAGGTCTGGGCCCGTCCTCCCGCCGTGGCTCTGTGCTGGGCCCAGCCTCGTCCTTCTCACGTCGCAACTCGCTGGCAGGACCAGGAGCAGGTCCGGGGGGTCGGCGACCATCTCTGGGCCCAGTGCCTCCTCTGGGCTCAAGGGTTAGCTTCTCGGGGTTGCCCCTGGCCCCCCTGCGTCGGGTAGCGCCCTCCTACCGCACAGAGCCTGCGCCAGGGGAGCGCTGGGAGGCCGCGCGAGTACAACACTCCCTGGAGGCGGCGCTGGCCGCGCGGCTGTGCCACACATGCTACTCGGGCGCTGAGGCTGGGCCGCTGGCTCGCGAGCTGTGCGAGCTGCTGCGTGTGCGCCTGCGCGAGCTCTGTCCCCCGCGCTACAAGCTCGTGTGCAACGTGGTGCTCGGGCCGCGCGCCGGCCAGGGCGTGCACGTGGTCAGCCGCGCACTCTGGGACACCGAGCGCGACGGGCTGGCCTCTGCCGCCTTCACCAACGCCTCCCTCTTTGCCGTGGCTATGGTTCACGGGCTCTACTGCGAGTGAGGACGCCTCCAAGTTCTGCAAAAATGGTTTATTATCCCAGGAGGAGGCCCTCCCTGGAGCTCAATCCCAATAAATAAATGTCTGTCAATAAATAAAAGTGGTCCATAAATAATGCCCCCTAGCTGGGGACTAAGGCTCAGGCTTTTCTTGGAGAAGGGGAAGGAGGCTGTTGGGACACGCAGACTCCAACCCCAGTAGAGCTGGTCCCTGATTCCCTGGGGGATTCAGCCCAGAGCCCCCAGTGAGGCACCAAAGGGACAGGGAGGCCCACAAAGGCAAGGGCCAGAGCCTTACAGGCACAGGCCTCAGACCTGAGGCTTTAGGTCATGGCCTGCTCTGCAGGTTAGGGCCTAGGAGGGGCAGCGGTCCCGGAGCAGACGCAGAGCATAGCGGAGCCGCTGCCGCAGGTCTGGGGAGCAGCCCAGCTGGCGCAGGTGGGAAGCGAGGTAAGTACAAGCACTACGGTTGCGGGCCACGAAAGTCACAAGCAGGGGCTCCCAGCCACTGAGGATCAGCTTGGTGTGGTCTCCGTAGAAGTTTACCTGTGCACAGAAGGGTGGCACTGATCAGGGCCTAGGCCCCAGGTCCAGTTTCCTCCCCAGCACCATGGGCCTCCCAGACCTTCCCCCCAAGTCCAGGAGGGGTTCTCACCTGGACAGTGCCATCACTGAACAGCATGAGTAGGGCCTGATCTGTCTTGACCCACTGCAGCAGGAGTGGGGGGACAGGCACCTCCACTTCCTCCACACTGGGCAGATCTCCACCCTGGGGGCAGAAGCAGGTCACTTGTCTGGCACGAATCACACCCCTCCTCCTTGATGTCTCCCATAGAGGTTCAGCCTCTAGCTCTAAGCCCCCCAACGCTCCCGCCAAGGCGAATAGGAAGGGATTAGGATGTGTTAATCCTCAATGTGCCCCACTCCAGTCCACACACCTTCATGAGATGCTGCTCCATGTAGGAGGCAAAATACCGGAGGACACCCAGCTGAGGCTGCAGGGCCTGAGGCACAGCACCCACAGAGAAGGAAAAGTGCTTTGTGCTGGTGGGGTTGTAGTGCACAGTCCTGGAGGAGAGGAGACGAGAGGTCAGAGGGAGCCCGGCACCGATGCCCGTTCCCTGGAGACCCCAGGACACCCCAGTGCAGAAGCACACACGTGCTGGGCACAATGGCACTCCAGAACAGCACTTACTTTCTGTTGGCTGAAAGGGCCATGTGTGTGCCGTTGTTGAAAAGCACAGCCACACGGCGGCTGGACAGTTGATACCCAAAGCCAAATTTGTTGGAGTAGTCAACCCACTTGCTGACCCATACCAGAGGCTCCGGCTGTGCAAGGGGAGCTGGGTTCTGTTCCGCTGTCATGGAAGAGGAAGGAGTGAGGACCTGTTCCCCACCTTTCAGCCAAAGAACTCCCAACCACCATTCACCATATCGGACCCCACCCTTACCTGGGGGCATGAAGGCCAGGCAGTTTCTCAAAGCACAGAGGGCTGACTCCACCACTGTGGCCACAGTCAGACCTTCTTCAAACCCTGAAGGGAACAGGGCACCTGGAATTAGGCATTAGTTCGCCAGGACACAGGCCACGTCTCTCTGACACTCCTTCCCTCTGGTCCCTGGTCTTAGCCCCAACAACCTCTAGCACCTCTCATCCATCTCCTTTAGCACCTCTCAGCCATCATGAGATGGCTGCTCACCATCTCCACTGCTCGCCAATGTCCCACGGGGTGAACTGTCTTCAGGCACTGTCTCTACCAAGCTGAGGGGGGCAGGACCAGAAGCTGCTGGAGCCTGGATGGTTGGGAAGGAGAAGGGAGTGAGATAGGCCTCAAAATCCAAATCCTCGAGAGTCCATGGCCCAGCCTTGCCCTGGCAGCCAGGGCACCCCAGGTCAGCCCCGCCTGGCTAATGAGACACAGCCAATTAGGCCACCACGAGGCTAGATGCTTCACTAGCTTCTTTTATCCCAGGCTTCCTGCAGCAGCTAGGGTGAGAGTGAGTCAGGGCACACTACCCATGTGAGTCCCTCACCTCAGGCCTGGCATCTTGATGGCCAATGGACGTCCGAGTGAGGCCATTCACCAAACAGGAGACCTCATCCCGCTCCTCAGGATGGTTTTTACCTGGGTGGGGGAAGATACAACCCTCATATCCTGCCCACCCCCACCCCCAGACTTCCTGCAGGGATACAGATGGGCACATGCTCTCCCCCGGGGGGTTCAGAGGCGTTCACACTCATGCCCCCACAATATAGGTACCAAGCCCCCCTGCCACGCTCTACCCTCCACACCACTGACATTCCAGACTTACTTTTCTTCTTCCTGCCAAAGAGGCTCTTGGTAACTTTGACAAACAGGATCCTAGCTGTGTTAAGGGGTATCAGGTCTGGGACTGTCACACAGCTGCTGACAGGGAGCCGGTCAGGGGTGTAGCCCTAAGGAGGGAAGTCAAAGTCAAGTGAGCAAAGAAGGGAAGCCCCAGGAGTCCTGTCACCTACCCCCACTGAATCCCCTGGGAACATGCAGAGTTGACTTAGATGTCTGGGGAGCCACAGACCTTGGTAAAGAAGTCATAGCGCAGGATCTGGTCAATTGAGGGGCGGTCTTGGGGCGAGGCTCGAAGGATGGCAGCCAGGAGCTGCCGGGCAGGCAGTGAGAGGCTGGCGGGCAGTGTGTAGTGAACCTGTTTGATGCAGCGATATGTCTCCTTCAAGTCAACTGTCTCAAAGGGGGGATTGCCGCACAGCAGTGTGTACCTGAAGGGCAGAGATGAGGGCATCAGGACTATAGCGGAAGGTACACCCCACCCGGGCCCCCACCAGTGTACGATGACCCTGGGGCTCACATGACACAGCCCAAGGACCACACGTCTGCCTCAGGGCCATGGCCCTGTCTCTGCAGCACTTCTGGAGCCACATAGTTGGGGGTGCCACAGATGGTTCTGAAAAGGGGCAGGGAGGAAGAAAGAAGAAGGTTCAGACCCAGCCTGGCTAGCCCCCCCTTCCCTGCCCCCACTCTGAGTCCAGACAAAGCAGCTGCCTGTCACCAAAGGCAAGAGAACTCCTGCTTGTCCTGGGACAATGGATGCTGGGGATGGCAGCTGAGTCCCCGCCCACCCGCCTGGCCCAGCTGCTCAGCTGCTTGGCAGGACAGGGGAGGCCTTGACCTCCACCCCAGCCCCCTCCTCCAAGGTTAGCAGAGGGTCCATCATGGATCCTTTCCTCAGTCAGTCCCCCACTCCCGTCTGTCAGACACCCATACCGGCTGTCACCTCCTATGGTCTGTGCCACACACAAACCAACACCAGCTGTCCTATTCCCCCAAAACACTCATCGGCCGCACATGCTATCTGTTGTCACTCACACCCAGTCATCGTGGCCACAGCAGGGTCTTCTTACAGCGGGTGTCATGTCCTGCCATTACCACACTCAGTCTGTCTCACACACACATTGCTTATGCCACCTTCCCCCATCCACACATAGGATCAGGTCCAACATCTCCGAGAATCCTTACACCCCCATCTGTCTCAGGGACTCCAACACCAACAGGACCCTCAGCCTTTCCACAGTCCCTGTAACTCCAGCTGCCACCTCCACCTTCCCACACACACACAAACAACCCATCATCCCTTTCCTATCTATCACACACACACATCAGGCAGTCATCATGCCTCCCACATACATAACTCACTGTCACGCACGTCATCGTGTCACACAGACCGTGGCCACCCCTCTCCTCAAACACTCACTTCTTCCTATGTTCCGGGGGTTCCAACCGGGTTGCCAGCCCAAAGTCCCCCATCTTCAGTTCCATGTTCTCAGTGATAAAAAAATTCCCTGAATGGGGGCAGAGAGGTGTGTCAGAGTCCTTTCTCTCTGCCGCCCCAACCCCCAATCCTGCTGGCCCGGGAGTCTCACCCAGCTTGAGGTCTCGATGCAGGATGCCCCGCTGGTGCAAGTACTTGAGTCCGGAAAGGATCTGGCGCAGGTAGTAGCGCACCTCTGGCTCCAACAGAGTGTGCCGAGCCTTCCAGATGTGGGCCAGGGACTGCAGAGAGCCACCACTTCAGCCCCTGATCCGCCCTCTCTGACCCTCCCTCCATCTGCGTTCACCGAGGAAGAGACAGGGCTCCAGCTTTGGGTCTTAAGGGCCCCTTTTCCCTCTCCCACTCTCACAGTCATCGCTCACCTTTCGGCTGCAGAGTTCCAGGAAAATGTATATGTTATCAGCATCCTCAAAGTGGTGCGAGAAACGCACGATGTGGCGATGCTGCAGGCCGCGGTGCAGCTCAATCTCGTTTAGGATCTGCAATGGGGGCGCGGGGTGGTCATCCCTCAAGGGCTCCCTCACCACTTTCCCCACCCCACCCCTGGTCCGCTGGGCCCGGGCCCACCTTCTCGCGCTGATGCGGCTTGGTGATGCGGCTCTGTGAGATGACTTTGACCGCGTAGGCGTTGCCAGTCTCTGTGTCAGTGGCCTCATAGCAGCGGGCAAAGCCCCCCTATGGGGAGGGGGCATCAGGCAGAGCGCTCCAGGACAGCCAAGTCTGGTCCGCAGACGTCCCCGCGCCGAGGACAAGCGTCCCCGCGCCGAGGACAAGCGTCCCCGCGCCGAGGGCAAGCGCCCCCGCCCCACCCGGCGCCGTCAAGGAGGTCAACAGGGACCCCCTCCTCCCCTCGCTAGCACACCACCCCACCAGTTCACCTTGCCCAACAGGCGGCCCTTGAAGTAGGTGCGACCGCTGCGCGGGTCGGTGATAAGGCGCCCCGGGTCCGTCGCCGGTGGCCCAGCCAGCATCTCCAGCTCAGGTCCCGGCGTGGCACTCCCAGGCGGCCCGGGCCCGGCAGGGGGCGCGGGCGGGGCGGCCGCACGGGGGAAGGGGCGCGGGGATAGGAAGCTGGCGGCGGGCTCCATGCAGGCGGTGCGTCGCAGCGCCGGCCCGGCTTGTTTCGGTTCCGCCCGGCCCGGGCCGCGCGTGGCGCTGCCGGGATTTGCTACGCTG